GGCTGCACGAGTGCGGCAGCACCCTCAGGGTAAGGCTGGGGGGGAGCTGGAGCCTTTGGGTGGGGGTCATCTCTTGGCTTGCACTTGAGTGCCTTGGAGGAGACGCTCCAGAGCCTTTCCTAGAGGCTGACCATCTCGGTATGCTTCTGAAGGGCAGCAGAAGCTCTAGTGTCTTCCCTGGGGAAAGGCACACAGGAGACGGGGGAAGCTTTTGTCCTTGCTCAGCACAGAGGTGCCGAAATCTTCCAGGACTCTCTATGCTGATGCTGCCACCTCGAGGGGGAAGCCCGGATGACCTGGTGCTGGGAGCCACTGCAGCAAGCCAGCGCTGGATGCCTGCCTCGGGAGGCACCTATCTCACTGCTGCTTGAGTGTAGGGTGAAGAACTAGTACTATGAGCGTCCTTTCTCCCCTGCGAGAGGCTTGGTGCCATGAGGGTGAGCAGATTCCCCCAGCAGAAGTCGCTCTGATATCCTGGAGGGTGACACTTTCCTTGACTGTTGTTCTGGGGCATGGAAACTAGAAAGAAACCTGGACGTTGGCTTAAGCAGCTCCGCTGCTGAGCGGAGGCTGTGCTGAGACGGGCTGGAGCAGCTCTGCATCCCTGCAGCAGGGTGAGGGCCACCCACCTGCATCCAGCACATGTTCTACTGGCTGATGTCCATCTCAGTGCTGCCTCCAGGCTTCAATGTGCTGATGTGGCCCAAAGAACAGGGCTCTTGATGCCTGGGTAATGTCTTTCCCCAGGTCACCCCTGATGCTCTAGTCTACAGTACAAGCTTAAACTACAACCCAGTTCCTCCTGGCAACCCTGTCATCATCCGCACCAGCCCTGCCATGGTTCCCATAGAGTGCCACTACCCAAGGTGAGCTGAGACAAGTGAAGACCAAGCAAGCCCTTCCGCTGCCATGAGGATCTAACCAAGAACATCTCTCCCCAGGAGGGACAATGTGAGCAGCAATGTTGTCAAGCCCACGTGGGTGCCCTTCCTCTCCACCCTGTCCTCGGAGGAGAAGCTGCCCTTCTCCCTGCACCTCATGAATGGTAAATTTTGGGTGAGGAGTCTTCTGGTGCCCTGGGCTAGCCTCTGAGGTGCTCATGCTTCCATCATATGGTGCTGGTGTCACCCCAGTGCTCCTGGAGCACTGGGTTTGGTACGGTTTAGGTGGGTACCCAGGGCCCATTGTGCTTCACTGCTTCATGCAAGGAAGCCCCAAGCTGGCTTCCCATTCAGAAGTGCCTGGTGACCTCTCTCCTTCCAGATGACTGGAGCGCTGAGAGAGCCTCCACCATATTTCAACTGGGAGAGGTCCTGCACTTCCAAGCTAGTGTCAACATGGAGAACCACGCACCTCTGAGGCTCTTTGTGGACAACTGTGTGGCCACCCCAACCCCGGACAGGAGCTCTTCCCCCCAGTATGCTTTCATTGACTTCAGTGGGTAAGAGCTGGCTGTGTCCTTACTTGAAGAGTATCCTTCTGCAGGTTATGGCAGCTCTGACAGTGGGATCCTCTTGTGTCTAGGTGCCTGGTGGATGGGCAACTGGATGATGCCACCTCAACCTTTATATCCCCAAGGCCCAGGCAAGATGTGCTGCAGTTTGCAGTAGATGCATTCAAGTTTGCAGGAGACTCCAGCAACCTGGTAAATCCTTTCTAAAGCAAGTGAACTCCCTTATCTAGATAGGGTTATGACCTCCAGAACTGCATTCCCAAGGCAGCTGCCTCATGGCAAGGTATGAGTGAGGTCATGGTATATCACTACCTAAGAAGCATGGCCCTCTGAGCCAAGTATCTCCCTTGGAGACCAGTTCTGATACTGGCCAAGATGAGCCCTTCTTATGGGCTTCAATAGCTGAAGCCTCAAGTGGCTTGAAAGAAAGAGGGCCTTGAGCTGCCCTGGGGTGGTGGTGGTCCCATCGGAAGCCAACTTCATGGTGCATAGGGAAGCCATAAAAGCAAATGAGAGCTGAACCTGTTCTCCCCAGGTCTACATCACCTGCCAGCTGAAGGTGTCCCTGGCTGCCCAGGCTCCAGACCCTCTAAACAAGGCTTGCTCCTTCAACAAAGCCAGCAACCTGTGAGTAGTTTGAGCAGCCTGCCCAAGGGTGAAGAGCTGGGGCTTCTCATGCGGTGTCACCTCTTGGGAAGGTGGGGTGGGATCTGGGTGGGAGAGGTTGGGTCTCTTCTTTGAGACCCTGAAGCCCGTGAGGGGTTCCCACCATTGGGTGGGCTGATCACCAGGCTCTCTCCTAGCTGGGCCCCTGTGGAAGGCACCCCGGATGTGTGTTCCTGCTGTGAGATGAGGAGCTGTGGCTTGGTCAGGCACTTCAGGAAGCCCCACTCTCCATCCCGATGGCAAGGGGGACGTGCCCGGAGAGAGCTGCCCTCCCAGCTTGGTATGCCTCAGCGTGCCCCTTGGTCTTATTCCCCTGTCATGGTAACTGTCTCAGAGCTGGGTGGCTGGAGCTGCCTCACTACCCCTTGGCTAATCCAGGATGTTCAAATGAGTTTGAATGCTCAAAGGTCCTCCTTTCCAGATCCCTTGGTGAAAGAAGCAGATGTTGTGGTGGGACCCCTCTTCATCCACAGCTGGCAGCATCACCCAGTTGGAAGGATGCCTTCACAAGGTAGGGCAAACCCATGGGAGGGGAAGGCTTGTGTGGCAGGTCCTGACTTTGGCCATAACCACCTCCTTGCTTCTCCTTCCTAGATGCAGCCCAACTGTGGATTGTTTTGGGGCTGGCCATGGTTGCTGGTTTGGTCATCCTGATCCTCACTGTTGTAGGGGCTCTGGCTGCCTGCCGGAAGCCCAGCAACCCTGTTTAACTCAGATGCCACCTTTCAGAGTCTATCCAATAATAAAGCAGAAGTTGAATCACTGAGAGGCTGGGTGGAGAAGTCTTCTTGGAGAGGCAGCCAAACCTTCATGCTAACTGTAAGTGTGCTGCTTTGCCTCCCCAGACCCAACCGAAGCATCTTTCTCCTGCCCCACTGTGTTCTCAGCAGAGCTCTTTACACCCCTGTGAACGGAGTTGGGAACTGATGCCAAAACAAAGCACTACTCAGGTGCCTTCCTTTCTTGTCTGTACAAGCATGAAGTTCTACCTCTCTGGAGGGTCAGCTCCATACTGGTAGCCCCCTATCCAATAAGGGCTTAATAAAACTTGCTTGAGGCTGGTATGGAGGGAGAAATGGAGCTTTGCTGGCTGAGGAAGGGAGCATGACTTGAGGGTTTTTCCTGGGCCACAGGCAGGAATTCCAGTCCCTGCCCCAAGGACTGTTTACACATAGTTCTATGTCACAAGCCTTGGCTGACATGGATAAACAGTCCTTGGGGCAGGGACTGGTCTCCCGTCCTCCGCTTCCTCCACATCCAGAAAGGAGGTTTCTGGCATGCCTTAGTCATGTTTGCTTTGCTGCTTCCTCCTGCTGTGGAATCTGGGCTCTTCTGCTTAGCACAGTAGTTGTAATGGCCAAGATCTTCTTACCTCAACCCCAAGACCTGTTGGTCTCCACTATGTGGGAGAGGCTCCCACTTTAGGCATCAGTGGGAACCGGCCCAGCTGAGCAGCTGGTGCTGCAGTGTCTGCTGTTGGAGCAACTCCAGGTGGCTGGATTCAGGGAAAACTGAGACCTGGGAGCAGCTGGGACTGGCTTGCAGCCTGGGCGGCTTCTGGGGGGGGTTGGCAAAGG